TGTCTACCTTATGGAATCGCCTCGAGTCCAAGTATATTCCAAAAGTTGATGGATACCATTTTCGGCAACATAAAGGGGGTAAGCATATTTATGGACGATTTATTAGTAACAGGGTCGAACACCGAACAACACATTTCACGTTTACGTACGGTGTTCGAGAAAATAAAGCAATCAGGTTTAAAAATCAATCTCGATAAATGCAGTTTCTTTCAGAAACAAATAAATTATTTGGGCCATTCTATAAATGCTACGGGATTACATCCTACTAATGAAAAAGTCAGGGCCATCACCGATATGATGGTTCCTACACAAAAAACAGAACTGAAATCGTTTTTAGGACTTGTTAATTTCTATGCTAAATTTATTCCCAATCTGAGTTCGAAATTATTTCCACTTTATCGTCTGTTAGAAAACAATGTCGATTGGATATGGAATAATGAGTGCCAAATCAGTTTTCAAAATATTAAAAAGGAACTAACGTCTTCCAGAGTTTTAGTTCATTACAGCCCAGACCTGCCAATAGCATTATTTTGCGATGCTAGCTCTACCGGTATTGGATATTGTTTGTCGCACATCTGTAACGATGATATTAGGCCCATAGCATACGCGTCTCGTACGTTAAACAAATCGGAAAAAAACTATAGTCAAATCGACAAGGAAGCCTTAAGCATAATTTTCGGAGTAAAGAAATTCCATGACTATTTATATCTGCGAACTTTTTACCTCTACACGGACCACAAACCTTTGCTCGCGATTTTTGGAGAGATAAAAGGAATCCCGCAATTAGCAGCTAGTCGCTTACAAAGATGGTCAATAATTCTTGCATCCTATCAATATGAAATAAAATATATACGCTCCGAACAAAATTGCAACGCAGATGCGTTATCACGCCTACCCCTCCCTTGTCAAGATAATAAAAACGAAGACTTGGGACACGTTCTTTATTTAGAAGATTCGAACTTACCATTGAACTATAGGCAAATCGCTAGAGAAACGCAACGAGATAAAATTTTGAATATTATTTACAAATATTGTTATACTGGGTGGCCCGAAGAAGGCCATAACTTAGATGATGAATATAAACCATATTTCTATAGGCACAACGAAATGCATTTGGAACACGGTTGTATCCTGTAGGGAGTGAGGGTAATAGTTCCTACTATTTTACGAAACCTCATTCTGAAAGAAATACACTCCAGCCATTTAGGAATAAACGAAAGCAAATCTATTGCTCGCTCATATTGTTATTGGCCACACATAGACCGGGATATTGAAAATATTTGTAGTAACTGTCCCATATGTACTCAATTTCAAGAAAATCCAACAAAAACTATATTGCAGCCGTGGCCCCAAACTAATAAACCGTGGTCTCGTATCCACGTTGATTTTCTAGGCCCCATTTTCAATGAAAAATATTTTTTTAATAACTGACTCGCATACAAAATGGCTCGAAGTTTTTAGAATGATAAATACCAACGCTCATGCAGTGATAACCAAACTGAGATCTTTATTTTCACAATTTGGGCTCCCTGATACGTTGGTTTCTGATAACGGTCCTCCCTTTTCCTCTGCGGAATTTGCAGAATATTCAAAGAATAACGGAATAAAACACCTATTCTCTCCCCCCTATCATCCATCAAGCAATGGTTGTGCCGAAATTTGTGTCAAGGGTGTTAAAAGGGCAATAAAAAAGGCAAAATCAGAAGGAAAAAACATTGAAGAGGCTTTACAAAGATATTTGTTCGACTACCGAATTGCAGAACAAAGTAATACAGGGTGCAGTCCTGCAGTAATGATGTTCGGTAGAAACATTAAAACACGATTAGACCTTATTCGACCTTCACAAAAGGTAATTAGCGAAACCAAAATCCAAAAACAAATTGATAGTTATGGAGGTAAACAAAAACATTTATCAATAAGTGAAAAGGTATTTGTAAAAGAATTTTCTAATACCAGTGAACCGAAATGGGTGCCCGCGGAAATTTCAAATAGACATGGTAACGTTACTTTTGACGTAAATGTGGGAGAGGGAAAGGTTATTCGCAGGCATTCGAATCAAATTAGAAAACGCTCATCTTTGGTCGCGCACCCTGAATCAACCGAACAAAAACAACGTTGATGAAGTTATAGAAATCAGGATAATGTTCTGGAAAATGTAACAAACACAGAAAATGTAAGTGTACACAGGGAACATGTACCCGAAAACTTAGCTAACGAAAATGAAGGTAGTAGTTCTTTTGAACGCCCTAAATTTATCTGTCCAAATAGGGAAGATGTAGCCGAACATTCGGGTAACGAAGAAATTAGTGCTTCTAGGTATAACTTACGTAAACGTAATAATTTGTGATTTTGGGTCAACTCAATATTTAGATTGTTCAATCATTTGTTTTTTTTTTAGCATTTGAAAGTTGAGATAATTATTTGTATTTTGTGGGGGGGTTTGTCAAATTGAATGTTTATTTCCTATATTATGACATTTACTATGAATAAGATGTTTGCTTATGAATATTGATTAGATAAAGTTAGGTTAACGTTGGTGAGGGATAGTTTGTAGTTTCTAATAAGGTGAAAGGAACTGTAGTAAATTGTGAGAGTATGCAATATCAGTTAAATATCACCACCCGGTATATTCTAAATACGATTCCTCAGGCGATCAACGCCTGGTAACTTTTTATCATGTCATTTTTCACTGAACCACTTTTTGTACGGGACATACATTGTTGAAGACGATAAATAAAACAGTTGGAATTTAGCGGGTGTTTGAATGACACAAAATTAATAAATAATTAAATGAATGCAACATATCAATATCAATTTCGATATCCCTAATGACATCTGTTAGCGACGTCGGCAACTGACGATTTGTTTATTCAGAAACCTGTGATACTAATTAAACAATCCATGCGATCTAAATAAGCTTATAGTGAGCGTTCATAGATTCCGTTACAATAATGGTGTATGTTACAATGCGAAACATATGAGTGAAAGTCCGAAATATCAATAGAAAATAACAGGGGTCCTAAGATGGACCCTTGCGGTACACCAGTTTTCAACGTCAGAGGTTCTGAGGTCTTCAGGTCATAAACGACTTTCTGACTCCTTCCTTACTGCGTTACTTTTGATTGAGTGAAAACCTATTAGTACCTGTTTTTTGTCCACAGTATGGAATTTGAACTTGTCATTCACATGGTATCTGTCATGCTTAAATTTTTCTAGTAGTTCTGACTGATTACTAGTTCTTGTTACATTAGGTAATGTCGTAAAGGGCTGATTAATGACGTCAACATCAGATAGGTTTTTCATTTTTTTGAATGTATTCATCTGTCTTAGTGCCATCCAAAATGTTTTGGGATTCCTTTGACATGATACGTAATCAAGATATCATTTTTCTCGCGTATTATGGACTGATTTGTAGTTTCGAAGCATCTTATTGTATTCCCATTGAGCTGGAGTTATACAGTGTGTCCCACTTACCATGCTCACCATGGGTATCTTTTTAACGGTGAGAGATACGAGGTCGGTTGAACACCAAATGTGGAGTTTGTCAAGGCCAACTATAATGAGAAAAAATATTTTGATAAAATCTATTCTTTTTTGTTTTATACGCAAAAAACAGATTTTGATCATTTTCATGTCTCCTCCGTAACTTCTTTATTTATGAAAATATTCAAATAGGAATTTCACATTCTCATGGCAGTTTTTCAAAATGATTTCGAAAAAAATATAAAATTTATACCAACTCTTCTAGAATTTGAGATATCAGCACCAACTTAAGTTTTTCAAATGTAGGTCATTGCTCACTATGACTTAGTTGCAAATAACTTTTTTTTCTCTTAGAGATGATATGTCGCAGTAATAGTTTTGTGTTGATAACAACGGAGTTATCGTCATATATACAAAAACAAAAAATTATTTGGACGCCGCCATCTTGAATTTATAAATTTTAACAAAAAAATCATGATCTCCGACCTCAAAAACCCCCACTTACCAATTTTGAATGAAATCGGACCAAATCTTGTCCGCCATCTTGGAGCAGCCATTTTTTTTAAATTTCAACAAAAATTCCATAATGAATTGTCACCGAAATTATGAACACCTGCCAAATTTCAAGTTAATCGAAGTCATCAAATTCATGCGATATGTCAGCTTCCAAAACACATCCATACAAAATTTCATTACAATGTTGCCAATAGTTTCAACATAATCGTAATAAATGTGTAAAAAAACATTTTTTCAACACCTTGTATCTTGAAAACGAATGCCGTTACGACATTTTTTTACTTATTTTGTAGTGCTCTACCTACTCTAGCAAGGGGTCAGATTTTTTCAAACACCATTTATATATCGCAACTCGTCTTGATTTACCCTATTCATTATTTGGCTATGTGAGTTTCCTCATGAATCACCCTGTATATAGTGTGTCTGTTGTTTGTGGAAGGAATTATACAGGTGACTTCTTTCAGTTCAGATCAAAGAACATATAGATAAAACTTGGTTTCCACTTCTGAAAATTCATGATGAAATAATTTCAAACACCCAATTGAGAAGTGTCAATCTAGTCAACTAAACAGGACAACACAAAGACTTTTTTTACCAATCAATCAATATTGTTAATATTTTTTATCAAATCATCACATATTTTACATTTTTTCAACAGAGTGTCATTGACAGAAAATAGAAATTTCTCTTCCAGACTTTCCAGAATGTTAGATTTGGGAGCTCATATCTGATCTATCCATCCTAAAAATATAATTTTTGTCAATTTTTCAATGTTTGAAACAAAGATAAAACCCACGCACTTGAAATATAAATATATCATGCCTTCATTTTTCGAGTTGCATGATATCCACTCTTCAACCAACATGTTTCTTGCTTTATGGAGTCATAGACATATTGTCCACTCTGCTCTTTTGTCTCATTTTTGAACTCTAATTCCTAGATTGTCATAGATTTTATATTTGAGTAGGTACATACATGTTAATAATGCCTTTATTTTTGAGAAGATAACCTGATTCCCATTAATGACACGCCAGGAAGTCACAAAAAAACTTATGAGGAGACCTTTGGCCACTCTGCAAAATCCAATGGTGAACATTTTTTTTTTAACAAAATGATATATCTCAAAAATTGAATGATTTAATTTTTTTCTGTGACGGTAAAAAAATGGAAATTTCATCCCTGTTGACAGGTTATAAAATGTAACTCTTCATGAATTACCTTTTTCCCGGATATACAGGGTGATCCACGGTGGATGGCCAATTAGAAGTATCTGGAGAACGAAAAGACAGAACATTCTGAAAATTGATATGCTGAACATCCTCTATCCGTCTAAAATATTTTCATCGATACAGTGTTGCCACTACTATCAGAAACAACTTGCAATTTCGTTATTTCAAATAGACAACCCTGTTTATTATTCCATTTTCTGACTCTACGTTGATTTTCCATCATGTTCCATTGATATTTCTCTATACCTATTTTGAGCCGTTTCCGAGATAATAATTAATTTCGGAATTTTTTTAACAAAATCTGTCACCGAATAAACTTCAATATTTTCCTTATCCGAAATATTAGGATGCTGATATTTGAGCGACAAAGAGCTCAAACCCGAAAGCTCTAGGTCGTTCAATCAAATCATCATTACAACATACAGGGTGGTTAAAAAATCAAGGTTAGTTGATGACAGAAAAGTGACTGAAAGTCTAGTTTTTCAAATGGACCACCCTGTATATTATTGCATTTCCTAAATATGCATCGACTACCCAACAACTTTCTATGATAATTCCCTATACCTATCTCAAACCGTTTTCGATATTTTTACAAGATGTAAACTTTCAGAGCTATTATTATGTAGATAATTGAATGAAATGCAATCAAATTCACCATCAATCAATCATCAAAAAATCAGACGAATCCAAACCAATTTTATGAACTTTAGTTCAACTCTAAACGAACAAAGAAAAGAACATAACTATAAATACGAACTGAAAATTAGAATATCACAATAAATGTTCAAACTTTTTACATGCAACTCAGTTCCCAGCTCAGATTTCTTCAGGATTCAGAGTTTGAAGAGTTTCTATCACCCTACATTATAACTCTTTTCTTGAATTTACTGGTGTTCTATAAACTCTTTCCTTAATAGATCCCCACAAATTAAAATCTAACGGGGTTAGATCGGGCGATCTCGGAGGCCAATTCCAGGGCCCCAAGCGTCTGATCCACCCATCGTCAAAAATTCGACTCAACTCTCTACTGACTTCTTCCGTGCAGTGAGCAGGAGCTCCATCAAGTTGGTACCAGATGTTTAGGCCTTCTTCCAATGTGGGATTGTCAACAAAATCTTCCAAAGAAGGGAAGATTTGTATTTCGTGCAAAATAATTTATTCAATATTCGTAGCAGAGCGCTTTCGACTGTTGAGTCATCATTAGTGCGTACTCGTCAGGTTAACAGGAAAAATTCGTCCATAAAAATATCTTTGGTCCAGTTTAAAACTAACGACATTGAGGTAAAATACATTTTGTTAAGCAGCCATTGTCGCTGCGACATGTCGTGTTGAAGGGAACTTCATGAGTCACTCATGTTGCAGCGACAATGGCTGCAATTTTTTTAAATCAAATCACGGAATTAGACTGACAGAAGTGACATCAGAAATTTGATTACTTCAAAATTCAAAAGAATGATAAAGATGCCTACAACGTATCGGTGTTCCTACTGTTAAAAACTTAAAATTTCACGTCGATAATTTTCAGATTTCAAAATAATGTAATATCTTCTCGATATTGATTCATCCTTTCTTCTGTCACAGAAAAAAATAGTGTATTATACACGGGAAAAATATTAGATTTTAGCTCACGGTTTTTTGTCTCGTCGGGAGACAACACATCCTGGAGCTGAAATCTACTACTTTTTTCCCTTGTATAATAAATAACTATTGCACGAAATACAAATCTTCCCTTCTTTGGTATACAGGCTGATTCACGGTGGATGGCACATTAGACGTTTCTGGTGAACCAGACAACGGATCATTTTGAAAATTCAATGGAGGGCATATTCGGACATTCTCTAGCCAACTAAAATATTTTCGACAATGCGGTGTTGCCGCTTCTATTAGAAAGCAGTAGCAACTTTGATTTTTCATATGGAACACTCTGTATTTTATTGCATTTTTAGATTATCCCTGAAGAGCAGATTTCATTGATGTATCACACTTGGGGTCTAGCGGAAATGATTACAGAGATATAGGGTGTGAAAAATCGACATTTTTCAACTTTAGGATTTTTTTGTGTCGAAACTATTCATCATTGGTCAAAACGGCTCACATGTCCCTATCTCAACTTTTGATTAACTATCTACTGATATTTAATTGGGACATATACCGGGTGATCAAGATTCTGAATTCTGCACCACCCTGTATTTGTTTCAATTAAATGTTAGTAGATAGTTGATCAAAAGTTGAGATAGGGACATGTGAGCCGTTTTGACCAATAATGAATAGTTTCGACAAAAAAAATTCCTAAAGTTGAAAAATGTCGATTTTTCACACCCTATATCTCTGTAATCATTTCCGCTAGACCCCAAGTGTGATACATCGATGAAATCTGCTCTTCAGGGAGAATCTAAAAATGCAATAAAATACAGAGTGTTCCATTTGAAAAATCAAAGTTGCTACTGATTTCTAATAGAAGCGGCAACACCGCATTGTCGAAAATATTTTAGTTGACTAGAGAATGTCCGAATATGCCCTCCATTGAATTTTCAAAATGATGCGTTGTCTGGTTCACCAGAAACGTCTAATGTGCCATCCACCGTGAATCAGCCTGTATATTCACGTGCACACAGCCCAGCAACCCTCACTCAACAAAATCTTCCACTACCATCTTTATAATATCTAAGTACTTCCTCGTCGTATATTACATATTTAAATTCATTATCCATCAATAAACAGAAGACATTAAGACTAAATTTCTGCTGGAATCCCCCTTCTTTAGTGACGCTGGGATTTTCACTTTTATTATTTTTATTATTTTCCTTCATTAAAAATCCCCTCCCTTGAAAATTTTGATTCGTCAGTCCAGATAATGTTTCTCAAAAAATAGGGATCCTCTTGTATTCGAACTAATAGCATTTCGCACAGTTCGACTCTTTGTGGATAATCACGTGGCAGAAGATTTTGCACCTTGGTGAATTTATAGTCATGCATCTTATGTTCAGCTAAAATGCTTTGTACTGATGTATACGGTATATCCAAATCTTGTACTACACTACGAATTGATGTTTGGGGAAATGCATGATAGGTAGCCAAAACATTGATCTGATTGTATTCCTGAACTGTCACGGGTCTAGGTAAATTCTTAGGTGCTCTTAGAGTTGAACCAAAAGTCATAAAATTGTTCTGGATTCGCCTGATTGTTTTTTATTCATTGGTGGCAAATATGGATACATTTCATTAAACCGTCGGCAGGTTCTGCTAATAATTACAACACACTTTCACTTTCCATGTATAATGAATAAGTTCATGAGAACCGTATTTGAATAATTATTGTTTTCAGCCATTTCACGTATTTCATCTACACTCAAAATTCAAATGAACCTGACTGTTGTCAAAACTTCCAAGGCTTACTTGATGGGACAGTAACATTATTTGCAACGATATTTCTGTCTATCGAATAATAACTTCTTTATTCGAGTACCTACTGTAGGTATAGCCTATGTAGACTTTACAGATTGATAGCATGCTTTTGCTTCAATTGAACCTCGTAAAAGTGTGGAAGATGTTTCTATAAAGAATAATTGACATGATTTTCCTACAATATGTAAATATTGACAACATTTTTTTTAATGAATTTTCGAAATAAATTTATATCTCGAAAACGGTTTGAGTTAAGTATAGGGAATTATCATAGAAAGTTGTTAGGTAGTCGATGCAGATTTAGGAATTGGAATAATATACAGGGTGGTCGATTTGAAAAACTAGACTTTCAGTCACTTTCCTATGTCATAAACACACCTTGATTTTTTAACCACCCTGTATGTTATAATGATGATTTGATTGAACGATCTAGAGTTTTCGGGCTTGACCTCTTCGTCGCTCAAATATTAGCTTCCTAATATTTTGGATAAGGAAAATATTGAAGTTTATTCGATGACAGATTTTGTTCAAAAACTACCGAAATTATTTATTATCTGGAAAACGGCTCAAGATAGGTATAGGGAAATATAAATAAAACATAATGGAAAATCAACATAGATTCAGAAAATGAAATAATAAACAGGGTGTCCTATTTAAAATAACGAAGTTGCTAGTTGTTTCTGATAGAAGTGGCAACACTGTATAGGTCAAACTATTTTAGACGGAAAGAGATCAAAGCATCCCAATTTTCAGAATGTTCTGTTTTTCGGGGAATACTTCTAATAGGCCATTCACCGTGGATCACCCTGTATATCACATTTATACAGGGTGTTGCGAAATTCGGCCGACAACGTATGAGAGGTGATAGCTCTCGTGATTTCATAATCACTAAGATAGGGACATACAGTCTTCAAGTGTTCAGTTCTTGAGATACAGGGCGGTAAAGTTAAGAAATAAAAATAGTTGTTTCGCAATATCTCAAGAATGATTGAATATAATGCATTCAACTTCGGTATATGGTTTCATCTTTGAATACGTCATTTTTTGACTTGGAAGCCATTCCGGAAATTCTATTCAGTGGTGCCCTACAGGGGGTTGTGGCAAAATTTCCTCCCATATTTTCTACGCCACTGATTAAATTTCGATTATATCCAATTCCTCGAATTCATTGTTCAATTTTGTTCAGAAAATGCATCACCTTCAACTGAGCTGAAATGAACAGTTTCCGAAATATTCGACCCAAAATAGAAGATTGCATAGTAATATTTCATCATTTTCAGTAGTAGAAAATTGCAAAAATATTTTTCTGGTGTTGAGTAGATTAGATAATATTCAGATCTCATTCTATAGCTGAACAGAAATAGTTATTCCACGCATTAAGAGGAAACAACATTTTTTGTAATTTTCTATTACTGAGGAAGATGAAAAATTACTATGCAAACTTCTATTTTGGGTCAAATATCTCAATTACTGTTCATTTCAGCTCAGTTGATGGTGATGCATTTTTTCAACATAATTGAACAATCAATTCGAGAAATTGGAAATAATTGAAATGTCATCAGTGGCGTAGAAAATATGGGAGGAAAAGTTATCACAGCCCTCTGTAGCGCACCTCAGGATAAAATTCTCGGAATGTCTTTCTGGTCAAAAAATTAACCATTCAAAGATGAAACCATATACCAAATTTGAATACATTATATTCAATTTTTCTTGAGATATTGCGAAAAAACTATTTTAATTTCGAAACTTCAACGCCCTGTATCTCGAAAACTGAACCCTTAAAGACCGTATGTTGCTATCTCAGTGATTATGAAATTACGAGGGCTATCACCTGTCAAGCGTTGTCGGTCGAATTTCGCAACACCCTGTATATACACTGTTGATGACTTTTGCTGTGCTATTGTTCCGAAAAATATGCCAATAACACCGTCTCCGAGAAAGAACTGTAAGTCCTTTTATATCGTCCATTCGACATCGCGGTTACGTAAATTACTAAACAACCACTAAATTCGCAATTTTTTTAAATCAAATCATAGAATTAGAGTAACAGATATTTCACGTAGATAATTTTCTGATTTCAATATAATGTAATATCGAGTCTAATATCTTGTCAATATTCTTTCGTCCTTTTTTCTGTCACAGAAAAAAATTTGTATTATATTATATAACGGGAAAAATATATTTTAGCTCACGGTTTTTTGTCTCCCTCCGCTGGATAAAATCATTCATTATGGACCGTGCCCTTTGCATATTCATTCCCTATAAACTAGGATTGTATAAAGAAGGCCTTTAGAAAATGTCAGTAGACTTGGAAATAACACTAGATCCATGAGTGATGAGTGTTTATACTTGTAACTAACTCAATAAGGAGCACTATGTATAATATCATGACCGTTCAGATTTCAGTTAGCTTTGACTGACAATTTTGACAATTTCCAAGGTAACAAAAATAATAAAAAAGAAATGTAATCCAATTTTGCTCATTTCAATAAAAACTAATGTATTTTCATATTTGGAGCATTATTGTGGAATAAATCAGTCGAGAAAGTCGACAATCATTGGTCCTTCGACTCGGATCGTTTGAAATTGCATTCAACGAAGAACAACAGCAGAAGGCACGTAGCAGATTTCGGGGCTTGGAAAAATCTGGTTCGGGCGATTCATTCCAGTAAGGGAAAAGCAGGACAGAGCACAGACTGCAGCAGATCATCTGGTGGTAGAAGGTATTTTCGGCATAGTTCGCCTGATCACAAGAACGGAAGACTTTGGCACTTGCGGATCGTTGGCGGAAACACAAAAAGGAGCTATTTTGGGTCGAATAATTGATGATTTAATGAGACATATTGCACGGTAGGGGTAGCCTATTGCATCGAGAGTGAGTACACGGTTCTGGTATAGTATCTTTTTGCATAAATATTGTTGGTTCAAATAAATTTCATCTGTGTTTTGCTATATTTGGGTTGAATTCTTGGTAAGGGTATTACTTCACATTTTTGGTAAGTGGTCAATTAAGTAATTGTGCATAATGGCTGAGTTAAATGAACTTATTCACAAAAGAAATATGATCATGGGCTTTTTAAATAGATTTGAGTCATTTTTATTGAATTGGTCGGAAGACAAACTCAAACAACTGCCTTCACGTTATGAGAAATGCAGAGAATGTTGGGGTGAATTTGAGAGTATTCAGTCACAAATTGAACAACTTGACGATTCAGAATCTATCTTACGATGAATTCAACACTATTGTAGCACAGGTGGAATCTTGCCTAAATTCTCGGCCCTTGAGTCCACTTTCGGAAGATCCAGACGATCTCGATGTGCTCACTCCAGGTCATTTTTTGATTGGCTCATGTTTAATGGCTACACCCCAAGAAGACTTGAGACCATACAATACCAACAAGATAAAACGTTATCATCAGTTAACCCAGTTGATTCAACATTTTTGGGCAAAATGGTCCAAAGAGTACCTGTCACATTTACAACAGCGAGTCAAATGGAAATCAGCTTCAAATGTGTTGCAGCCAGGAATGATGGTTATTATTCAGGATGAAAATTTACCGCCATTGAAGTGGCAGCTCGGAAGAGTGACCGAGGTCCATCCCGGAGAAGATGGTGTAGTGCGTGTAGCATCAGTGCGTACCTCAATGGGTATCAAGAAGAGAGCTGCTGCAAGACTTTGCATTCTGCCTTCAACTGATGATTCATGTCTTGAAAAAGACAATTGTTGAGACCATTTTATTTCATATTGTATAGGGCTTGTTCATTTGTTATATGTATTGAAAGTCGGTGCTTTCAAGGGGGCGGCATGTTTATACTTGTAACTAACTCAATAAGGAGCACTATGTATAATATCATGACCGTTCAGATTTCAGTTAGCTTTGACTGACAATTTTGACAATTTCCAAGGTAACAAAAATAATAAAAAAGAAATGTAATCCAATTTTGCTCATTTCAATAAAAACTAATGTATTTTCATATTTGGAGCATTATTGTGGAATAAATCAGTCGAGAAAGTCGACAATCAATGAGTCATGTACATATAACATCTCTAATGCTCACTCATAAGCTGAATGATCCGGATTTAAGCCAAACTATTCAACAATTTAGTTTTTCACCGATTTATTTCAATTCGTCTGTAAAAAGTACATCAGTATCGGATCCACAGCATTTAATAATTTAGTTTACTGATCTTTTTTTACATTTGCCTGGCCAATCAATATTTTTATGAATTTAATTTTCATTCGTCTAGTTAATCAACTACACATTATTTTTCAGGGACAACAGAAGAGGCTGAAATTATAAAAACTGAGTACAAACCATTTGAATATGTACTCCAGCTAGATGGTAAACATTTTTGATACATGATAAATGATGACAGTTATTCATCAGAATTGCCATATTAATTTATTATTTCTCATTTCATTTTGTTGTTTTAAGAATAACTCAAGAGCGCGCATCAGAGAAATCTGGCCATGCAGTTTGATATAAAAGGCACAAGTCTGCACCCAAAATTACTTACTGCAAATTGAGGAAGGTTGAGAATTAGTAATAGAGAAATTTGACGTTCAAATTTTGTCTGGGGAGGATAATACTATATTAAATTGCAGAACTAACACACGAATTCTAGAATATGTTTGGCATTGATTTTATAATTCAATATCATATATTTTTTCTGCACAGACAAAAATTCACTATCACTCCACTATTTCTCCATCAACTACTCCCAACCGTCGTTAGTACCTATCAAGGATGGAGAGAAAACTAACTAATTTTTGGTAGACTTATGATTTATCAATGGTGTGCTTTTGAAATCTCTAACTTGCAATTTCTCGGATGCCTCTTTAGAATTCTTGTATATCACTTTTTCAATGGTACAATTTTATAAACGTCTAAAGTCTCTTTGATTTATAGAACATGCCAGTACAATTACTGATATTCAAAGAACAGATGATAGCTCGGAACGAAAATTGAAGAAGCAACAAAAAATAATAGTAGAGCAAAAGAAGAAAATCAGAATGTTACAACAAAAAAATCGACGTTTCGTTAAGAAAATCTCTTCGCTCAAGCAACTCTTGGGACATTTAAAGACACAACATTTGATTCCTCAAGAGGCTGGCAATCATTTTCTGGTATTGGAATATATTATTTATAGATTTAATTCACATATCTTCAGGTAAAATGCAACGGCTTTAGATGTTAATTGCTACAAGGAGCACTGATTTGAAAATACGACAGGTGTCATGGGCATGGGGCTATATAATTGTGACAGTGCATCTTTATAGATCATGCATTCTTTGTGACTAAATTTTAACTTATTTACAGGAGCTTATTCGACTTTCATACATAGTAGGAGAGCCGGCTGCAAATTTCGACCGTCATCTGATAAGGAAATGATATACACTCAGTTCCGAAAAAAGTGACGCACTTGATATTTGATATTTCGGAGACCTCTCGCGAGAACGTACCCTTCTCCCTAATTCATCCCACAAATGTTCTATAGGATTCATATCGGGGCTTCTCGCAGGCCATTGTAATGTGGTAATACCAGTAGCTTCTAAGAAGTTTCGCACTATTGCTGCGGTGTGTGGTCGGGCATTATATCCTGCATCAATATAAAATTATTGCCCACTAACTCTGCATAAGGTGAGACATACTGCTCTAAAATGTCAATGTAAATTTGGGCATTCATCGACTGCCTCACCGAAAAAACATGAAGGGGTGTCTTTCCATTCATTGAAATCCCTCCCCACACCATAACGGACCACCATTAAAACTTTCGCATTCTGTTATTAAATTTTGATTAAACCGTTCACCAGTTCTTCTCCACACTCTTTTTCTTCCATCCACCATGTTAAGGCAAAACCTTGACTCATCCGTAAACAAGACATTCGACCATTCAGGAATATTCCACTGTCCATAATTTTCAAAAAAATTCCTTCTAGCAGCACGATGTTCGGGCAATAATTTGGGACCTTTTGCAGGTCTCCTAGCTTTTAAATTAACTTCTTTCAGACGTCTACAATCTACATACCGTCTGCTTACTTACTGCAACATCACGAATTTGGCGAAGATCTTGCTGAACATTTACCGCAGTATTTGATCGATTCCGTAAAATCCGCAACGGGGGCGATCAGAACCGACCCTCCGAGCGGTGCTTCCTGTTTGTTCAAGACAAATGCATTACCTACCAACAAATAAAAAAAAATAAAAATCGGCCTACTATTTTTTTTAAGAATATAGGTCAAATATCAAGTGCGTCACTTTTTTTGGAACTGAGTGTATGTCTCAAAGAAATGTAAAAACATTGTAGTTTATCGAACGGCACCTGTGTCTCTCACTATCCTGAGCAAAATGATTGAAAAATGGCACTTTCCTGTGCCGAAATTTGCACTCGATTTCGCGATTTGATAACGAGATAAGAATGGGGTTTCCTATATTGAGGTTTTTATCTCACTGTGAAGTGAATCAACATATAAGATTTTTTTTTCGTAAGATCAAATTTTACTTCAGAAAAAAATAAATAAAAGAGGAAGTCGGCTCCTCCACCATTCCTATGACTTGCTTTCTGAGAATTCACACAGAGTTAAAAGACGGTTCCCTGTACCAGTACGACGTTGCCGACATCATCAATATGTTTAGATTTTCGGAAATTGTTCTTTGAATGCATAATAACCAAATCATAATAGCAATGGGATATAATAGGTTCTTCAATCCTACTTCATCAAGTATTATGAATAATTTCCATAAGTTGCGTTTTATTTGTTCCATTCTGGTAGCGGTGGTGGAAACAGAATGACGTTTACAAATAAAACGAGAAACTTCATAACCTTGCTTGAGAGAATTTACATAAGAGGTTTTATTTGTAGATGGGAGATCCAAATAATTTCAAAAGCATAATACTAGAGTTGAGAATCTAAAAAATGAATCAACTAATATTTGGAGCAGTAATTGTGGTGATTGAAAAAACTTCTCTGAAATCGACAGAGTTTATTTTATCTGGGAATGAACATATATGAAACCTGTCTTACTTGAAAGAATCATGAACTAGTGAAACTCACGCTGAAAATGTCTTCTAAATGTCTTTTACTTTCAAAAAGGTTCGTTTTTCGTCAATCTAATTTGATTTTTTGACACCTGTCAACAGTCATTCCACATCATTCCTTGTAGTGAGACGGAATGGAAAGTAGCAACCGGAATCGGAAAAGTTTCAAATAAAACTGATTCCGGTGGCGGAATAATCGGATAAATAAAACGCAACTATAAATCTCTCATTGGCTGAATAAGTTAATTACTAATAAAGATAAATTATGATATTTTGCGATAATATCTATAATTTTTCACTATCGTTATATTACAATATGTTATTCATAACTTGTCAGTAATTTTTTTGCTAATGAATACGTTCCCTAACAAAACGAATCTATTTTCTAGGAAAATTGCAGATATCTTGCAACAGCGCCTAATACTTCCGAGTCCGTCCACACCACACAAAATACTGACAGGCACAACATGAGGACGGAGCCATGTTTGTCGGCTTCACTCTCTTCTGACCGATGGCAGTAAAATAGGAAGGATAGTATCATTGAATGAAGCCGATAGTGATTCCTTGATTCAATGATATTTTCGTTGAGGATCGAGCTCTATTCGAGATATTTCAATGCATAAAAAACAAAACCATAACCTGTCAGAATGAAGCCAACTACCCTCTGCATTCCTGCTCCGAGTGCATTTGTGGTTATGTATGTTTTGGTTTACCAGTTTAACTTCTTCTATTTTTTTCATTCGTTAGCTGTTCACCATTAGCTATTTTCAGACTAGATTTAGAATGGACGTCACAGTTTGCCGCCCCGAAAATTAAAAATTGCTTTAATTTGAAAATGAAAACGACTTGGACTTTATCGGTCGCCATTCTATACAGCGTGGACATGAAACTGGAGAGTTCCGAACTTATTTCATAAAAATTCATCTGAAGGAAACTTCCCCATCATGACTTCCGATGCCAATGGTAGATCTCAAAAACCTACCTGTGCCACCCCTCAGTCTGAGCCAAATAAACGGCACAGCGCGATTCATTTGCTGCTATTATTCCGGACATACTTACGTCATGTGATAACGAGTTTTAACAAAAAGCAAATAAAATGGGAAAATGTTCCCTTTGCGAAGATCCAAACGTGCCGCGATTCAAACTGATCTAAGTTAGTGGCAGGGCGTCAATGTTTCCGAGAATTTTTCGCCCTCGTCGAAAGATAATATCCGATGGATCAGTGTTAAACTCAACATGTAGATTGGAATACTTGTAGTGCGAGCACCACATGAGTTTTACACTGGTACATCGGATATTATCTTTCGACGAGGGCGAAAAATTCTCGGAAATATTGACCCCCTGCCACTAACTTAGATTAGTTTGAATCACGGCACGTTTGATTATTCGCAAAGGGGACATTTTTCCCTTTCATTTGCTTTCTGTTTCAATTCCTTATCACATGACGAAAGTATGTCCGGAATAACTGCAGCAAATAAATCGCTGTGCCGTGATTTGGCTCAGACTGAGGGACGGCACAAGTAGGTTTTTGAAATCTACTATTCAATTGGTATCGGATGGCATAATTCTTATATCGTTATCAAATCGCGAAATTTAGTGCAAATTTTCGCACAGTAAAGTGCAAGTTTTCAATCATTTTGCTCAGGATAGTGATCTATATCAATTATATATATATGGTTCTTTATAACATGTTTTTTTTTATTACCCAAATCAAAATCCAGGTAGCACAGTGACGTCCGAATGACGTCCTAATTTGGTCACAAAACTGACCAATTGACGTCGAAAAATGACGTTTTGAAGAACTCGAAATGACGTTTTGAAGAACTCGAAATGACGCCAAAATGTCACTGCCATAAGACGTCATATTTATACGTCAGAATGTCACAGTCAAAAGACGTCATATTAAAATAAGTCGAAATGACATCTCAGAATGAACTATAAAGTACTAAATTCAAAAAATTTCAGGAAATATACAAGCGTATTTACGATATTACAGAAACATACACCACTAACCTGCTTTTCATGAGATTCATTAATGAATTGTTCCCTATCCGGATATAATCCTGTTCGATCGTGGCGTTATCATTAGTTCGCATCTCTCTATGCGAGTATAACATTAGCTATTCTTATTATTAGTATCTTAAATTATGTAGCGATTATCGGCGAGATGTAAGCGGAATATTGAAACGTACCGAAAATTGGTAAATAAAGCTTCACGTTGTAGAGAAACTCATATACAAACCATTGATTCTCTTTTAAGTTAAGGTTGGAAGAATATGCGAACGAAAAAAAACGTCATTATGACGGCTTCTTATAGGTCATTGCTACCTGGGAAAGCCATTACCACCTCAAGAAAAAACATTATCGACGCCCCTGGATACTGCACGGCGTTTGAAGAAGTGGATTTTTATAACGATGTATATTCATTTTTCAGCAACGCCGTACAACTTTGACGGTATACAGGGTTTAAGAAGCACCGCACGCAGACTCCTTCTTTGGAGGTATGGTTCAATAAGATCATTGAAAAATGTACGGCATCGATTCCATCATATTATTTACACAAAAATTATGCCGTCTAAAAATTATGGTTTATGTAACATGAATAAACAATTATTAATTTCCGATAATTCTGCTGTGAGGGAGATTATAAGTGAAAATTTGCCTATTTGAATATTAAGGTTGACATGTCCCAGAGATTTTTTCAAGTTCATTGTGAACATATTTTATTGAATTCTTCCCCACCTTTACGGCATCACCTGTGTCATCACCCTATAATTTTTTAGTTATTAAATTTGTACGGTAAACTATACATTCCAAAAAAGAAGATAATAGGTGTCGCTGCCTCCGAAGGAATGTTTACAATGACGAAACGAATAATTGGCAGCCAATTCAAATTCGTAACCATTCGAATGATTGTGTAACACTTTTTTGAAGGAAGCACATTCATGGACCTCATAAAACAAAAGTTTAATTTTATAATTATTGTGTATCATAATTATTTTATTGAGTATGTTTTAGTTTCCTGTACATTCTGATTCTGTGCATACAGAATATTTATAATTATAGATAATAATATGCAAATAAAATAATAAAATTAAAATATTATATTCAATTATAATACAATAATAATGGACATTCTCATGATAACATCCTTTAAATCTCGGACAATTAACAAAATATACTATCACACTACTAGGATAAAAGTATGAACGTAACAGTATAAAGTGCAATTATTCCAAATAAGATTAATTTTTTTTTATTTAAAATTTTGTACAACCACCTCGCTACATTGTCCAGCTACTGAATCAAAAATGACAAATGTAAAACTAATTGATATTGGGAATCAATATAACAGTTTCAAAATTATGAACAATATTTTTATACATCAATTCATTGGAAATTAATATTTAAAATCAATGAAAATATATTTAAATTACATAATTTTTCAAAATTTGTGGATTCAAAATATCAATGATCCTTTATTAGATGCATGACATAATTGCGATGCTTAGCTGATGAAATCCCTTTCAGATGAAAAAACAAAATTTGTCATGCATCTAAATTATAAAGTAAGTTTCAGAACATTACTGATTTGAAAAATATGTCCATCATTCGAAAATGGAAGGAATACAAAACAATCTCTCGACGGTACTGAGTACCATGTTGTGAAACGTACTTTTATCTGAAATTACACTAATAAAATACATATATTTCTCCGTCTTACAATTCATACCCATTTCATGAAAATATAAACTGGAAGTGATTTCAGTTCAGACCAACCGTATTATTGAGAAAACAAAACAAAATTAATGAGTAATAATATAATTGAGGTTCCCAAGTGAAAATACCTCAGACTATGGAATCAAAGGCTGCAGACAAATACGGTTGATATAAATCACATTTTCACTCATTTACACTGCCACATATTGGGAAAAGTAAAAAAATATATCAATTAAAATAGGTACAATTATCACAAATTTGATTGCCTAGAAGGCATCGAAAGTATTTACAAGGAATCCCAGAATATGGTGAATGTAGGGTAACTACAGAATTTCAAGATCTGATTGGACTAGCACAATCATGTGCTATCATTGAAAATGGTCATTCCAGATCGTGATATAAGTATAGTCAAATCGACCCAAAACTCATGTGATTGCTCTATATTCGACCTATTCTCGAATACCTCGCATAAGCAATTATCAAATAAATTCTTCGATTTTTCATAACAATTGGAATATATGACAGTGTACTCGAAGTATAATAATTTGTTGTTGATTAATAGAAGGACTCTTATTACACTTATATATCACTAGAGTGCTGCGGCACAGTCCAGTCCTGTGTATCGAAGTATAACCACTTGTCCAGCAAGTGTATACCATCACTTGCAGCAGTTGCCAGAAGTCTTCGTCCCTGCATCGCCCTCAGCCAACCTTCTGCCCTGAGCGCTACCGCCTTGACCAGTGTTTTGTTCGTTCTTAGGGAGTTTCTTAGCTGAAATAACAATGTTTCTTCTCACGTAACAAAAAATGGCATTTAGTGTACGGATCTGTACCACGCTAAATGATCGATTGACCACGGATTGACGATCTGTGATTTATTCAAATTATTAAACACGTTAAGGAGGATGCGCGCTGAATCGACTCGGATCGGCACTTCAACTTATACCGCGCTCTAAATCGGCAGTATCGGCACATTCAGCATGTCTTCAGCAGTTCTAAAAGCCATTTAGTTCAAATTGATAATAATATACATACAATGGGGTTGTACACTCTAATCGAATTCACGCCACATACCTATTTTATATTGATCAGTCCGTGTGTGAATAGTATTTGATGCTATCAGTTGTTATTTAAAATCATCCAAAATACGTTTTTTCATTAATTGAAAATCAGAACCTTCGAAAAACGCCAGGTTTCGTGACGTCATCAACCTGCTGGCACGGAGAATAGTCATCGTTGCCAAATTTATAGCCAGTAATTACCTATATGAGATTCAATATCACCAATGACAGAGTATTTACGTTCGCAAAAGACAATGTGGCCACCTGGTTCCTGATAATCACTTAATGAATACTTATATACCTTGCAAGATGATGATTCAGTGTCAGTAATAATATCCTAATATTCGTTATAATGATCATAATTTTATTCAAACCCAAACTTTTTTGTGAGTCTGGCAACAGCGCAATCGTCGAAATATCAATAGAAAAAAAGAATTATTCTAACCTAACCTAACGTAGGCCGTCTGATTGGTAAACAAAAACAAATCAAAGACACGTTTGTTTACTTGAGGACTTTGTGGGTTTTGGAAGCCTTTTAGAGTATTATTTTATTGAGTCAGATTAAGTTTTGTTTAGATTAATTATGAATAATGAAAACTTACTGTGATTTTGAAAAGAAAATGCCAGTAACATGTATTGTGGTGGGACCATTTGATGTTCATTCCCTTTCCTACTGTGATACTGTGAAAAACTCTGTGCATTACCCACAGATGAAGGATTTATCAAGAAAAATAAGGGAAATGTGGATAGCAGCCATCAAGAGAAAGAATCAACAACAGAAACATTCATAATAAACCAGAGGATATGTAGCAGACACTATTTTCATAACAGGTACTTGAGAAAAAGGATTTTAATATTATTCATAATATGTACCTACCTACTCTAGAACTGATGAATTTAGTATTTCATGCTATTGAAAACATATATCATTGTTCTTTTTGATGAAAGAAGCCAATACTCATTACCTTTGATGGCCCTACATGGTTTGGAAACATCATGTTTTCAATACACACATAATTTATTTACCTTGTAGGAGAACCTAGTGCCTGGAAGATGAGAATCATCCAGCTTGGGCAGTATAATATGGATCATCAATCTCTAGCCCATTCAAAACACAAGACTGATGTGGATCAAAAACTGAGAGCAGAGAAAAGGTTTAAATCAGAATCCAGTAATGAAGCATCTGTGCCAAGAGACCTGGTATGTTCCCAAGAAAACATCTAATTACCTACTTCACTTTAATCATGAAGCCTTGCTTCATTAGTAAACTAGGTATATTGATATGTAACATTTTATATTCATTTTAGTGTAATGAAGAAAGTGTCTGGGAGATGAAGACATAGTAGAGATAATTGGTGAAAATGAGGTGAAAATCTACAATAGATTCCATATTATACTTTTACAAATTATAGTTTGTTGTGATTTATTTTTATTGATTATAAATGAAAAACAAATATAGTAAGTACTTATATCAAAATTGTAATATTCAATTAATGAAAAATACAGTATTATTCCACAGTAGGTAATGTATATTACAAGAGATCTACATAGGTCATGAAAAAATCTTCATAGAACATTATAGGTATTTAGTGATCTGATTGAAACAAAGATGAACAATGGTAGAATGATATATTATAAATAGGTAGATATTTTTTTATAGAACTTGTTAAATCAAAATTCACAAAACCATGCCAACTTTGGTGTACCTAAAATATATACACATTAAAAATGGAACCATTTGATTTCACTTTATCACTGTCACAACTATTCATAAGCACTAGAACACTTATACCCATGGACATATAAAAAAACCAATAGTTCATGTACTCTTCTAATAACTCTTTCAACATGAATTCTCAGAGATGCTATTATTTTGCTATTTTGTACTTCTTGTGGTGTAGATTTCATTTGTGATGATACACTTGGTGGCCTAACTAACTCACAACCTTTCTCAGTGTGGCAATATGTTTAAAGCCTCTATCAGCCAAAATAGATACATTTGTGGGTAACTCATTCAAATTGGTAGATTTTTTCACAATCTCTGTATCAGATATCCTTCCTCCATACCTATGCTTTAGGTATGAAATTGATGAATCCATTTGGAGTACAAGATAAAAGGAATGTCACTGTATTACAGCTTTTATATTCAGACCAGCTATTTGCCTGTATAACTGGATCTGGCTTCTCAATTTCAACTTGAAAACAGTCTATTATGCTCTGAACATTACTGTACCTAGCTCTAAATGTGATTGGTGTATTTTTTTGAATGTCTATGTCAGGCTGAAATACAAAATTCTGCAATACATCTGCCATCTTTGGTAAAAATTCTTTGGATATTGCTAATACTAACTCCAAAATCAATAGCTAATCTTTGGTGTTGATCATTGAATTCTCACTTTTTTCAAAGTAATCAGACACTCTTCACAAGAAATGCTTCCCTAAGTCCCTGGATTTCCAAGAAACAATCTTGATAAAGTTCTATTGCATAAATTTCAGTTTCTTTATAACTGGCTTTTGTATGTCTGTCTCTAATCTCCTCAGCAATCTCATCAAGATCAGTTGAACTGTTTAGCTCATATTTTCTTGTAGGAGATGAAAGAGATTCAGATATTGTATATGAACTTGAAAATGAAGGTTTCATACAACAAGGTTTGATCACACTCTTCTCCCTCAACTTGATAGGATTCATTGGTTGGGTACATCATGAAAAGTTTTATTTTCCATATTTACACCTCTACTTCTGAATGGCCCTTTTATATTAGTCTGAATAACTATTTCTTCCTCAACCTCAATGATGTCAGGAACTGATATAGATGTATTTGCTACATTTTTGGATGATGAGGGTTCTGCACTTAGTTCTGCATAATCTGATAGCTGTATTTTTCGTTTCTTCCAAACATTTTCCAGCAACTCTGCTTTCCTTTTGTTTCCCTTATCAGTCAGTACACTTCTTTTGTATGTCGTATGTGGGTGGCGGTACATTCAAGAACTTGTGTGGCACTGCATGAGGTTTCAGCTTGAGTGTTGTTCCAATGATTTTGGAAACAAGCTGGAATATCGGAAAGTGACAAGGATATCACATTTCACAATGGGAACCCACATTGAAATGATCCTCACAGCAGTAGAGGTCATGTCCTGAAATAAATTCCAGATGCACTGCCAGTTTTTCCTGCGTTGGGTACTAGCCGGGACGGTCGAAAACAGTTTTTCAGGCGAATTCTCACTACTATTTTGACAAACCGGTATAAAATATACGATATACGACTACCATAGGTTAGGTTATACGCAATCTTCTTCTCCAATTTTAGTATCATTACCAAAATATTCATCTCACATATTTTGATAAATGACAATCAGAAATATGTTTGCACTTGTCTAAGAGAGAGAGAGAATGGATATGTATGTCGAATCTTATATGAATTGTTCACCGGCTGCCTACGTCACGCGCTTTCCCGCGTTTTTCATGTTACGAAATATCGTGTATTTCAATAATTATTTAAAAAATGTACAGGGCTCTGGGGAAAAAACGGTTTGCGACAGTGAACTAGTTAGGGTTAGTACTTCGAAATAATGAAATAAAATTTTTCACTGAAACAGGCCCATTACGCATCAAATGACGTGAAAATATACAGGGGGATCCAATTTAAAACAAGAAAAATATAGTGCTTTGAAATTTTAAAAGATTGCTACTGAATTTTGCATACCCTGTAATGATTCGTGTCGATCAAACTCGGTGCACGACTCTCCTAGGCCTTATTTAGTATTTATATTATATGATTTTAATAACAAGGCAGTTATCTTTTTTGTTATTCATTTTTCTGGCCAAAATTGTTTTTTTTTTCATGTATAACATTTTTTGTGAACATCGCTAAACCGATTTTAATGAAGTTCCATGAGTATGTAGGTAACCATAAGGCTCGCCATAAGGCGTACTGGAATGTGCAACAAAATATGCATGCCATTGAAAAAATTGTATCATGATGACCTTTATTGGGCTATCGCCCTCAGCCAACCGTCTGGCCTAAGCGCTACCGCCTTGACAAGTGTTTTGTTCGTTCTTAGGGAATTTCTTAGCTGAAATAAAAATGTTTCGGATTGACGATCTATGATTTATTCAAATTATTAAACACGTTAAGGAGGATGCGCGCTGGATCGACTCGGATCGGCACGTCAACTTATACCGCGCTCTGAATCGGCAGTATCGGCACATTCAGCATGTCTTCAGCAGTTCTAAAAGCCATTTAGTTCAAATCAATAATAATATAAGGGGAATGAGTTCAATTGAATCCGAGAAAGATATAGAAAAAACGGAAACCAAGGATCTGACCATAACATCAATCTCAAACGAGAAACCTATGGAACCTTATGGAACCTATACAGGGTGTCCGTTTTTCGAGCTCCACCATGGGGATCTCAGTTATTATAAGAGATACGAGGTCGGTTGAATTAGGGCAAAGTTGCGCATTTTCATGCTGAACATTTATCTGCAAGAAAATTTGATGTATCATTTTTAGTTTTTGAATAATTGGAAGAAATCGAGAATTTATAATTGTCGTTTTTATTTTTTCAAGAGGAAACCAAAAGACCTAGACGTTCCTGACTGGGATATTCTTAAAGCACTTTTGTACAAGGAATCTGAATCTGTCATGGCATTTTCCATGAAGTTCTTGATGCCAAAGTTACAACACACAACTTTGTTTTTTCTTGTGGGCGCCATATTGAATTTTTACATTTTTGAAGTCTTTTTTCTTAATTACAATGATGGATCACACGATATGATCGAATCTTTCCTGTTGATCGAAATTGGAAACACTATTTTTGCGAAGAGTGCTTTGGAAAGAACGCCAACAGTTTTGTTCAACAAGCTGAATTTCGACAGTTTATTTGAATTTGGACCTGGAACCTCCACATTTTCGTCAAGCTCATCTACTTAAAAACCATGGTTTTGAATTAGGAACGACGTAATGAGCTAGAGGTTTATTCTTCGCAAAACAAAACAAAGTTTAAACACAATTCCACGCGTTTTCTCAGATTCTGAATTGCTCGCGAGATGTCCCGTCTTCTTATCTTAGTCCCTTAAAGTGGTGATTATGGTTCTTCTCAGCTCATCAATATCGATCGGTACAGTTTTGAAAGTCAAATATTTCATAGTTCCCAATAAATAATAATCCAGCGGAGAGAGATCAGGTGACCGCGCTGGCCAACGTATGTCTCCGTTCTGTAGTAAATTAACTTGTCAGGGTACACATCTGCTAGACACTCTGCAACCCTTCTTACATTATGTGGATAAGCTCAAGCTCAACGGTTCTGTTCGCATATTCAATTGAACTGTCAAAATTCAGTTTGTTAAACAAAACTGTTGGCGTTCCTTCCGAAGCACTCTTCGCAAAAATGGTTTTTTGCCAATTTTGACCAACAGGAAAGATTCGATCATATCGTGTGATACATCATTGTAATCAGAAGAAAAGACTTTTTCAGAAATGCAAAAATCCGATATGGCGCCCATGAGAAGAAACAAAGTTGGGTGTTGTAACTTTGGCATCAAGAACGTCATGGAAAACACGATGACAGGTTCAGATTCCTTGGGAATGTCCTAGTCGGAAAAGTCTAGGTCTTTTGGTTTTCGCTTGAAAAAATAAAAACGAAAATTACAAATTTTCGTTTTCTTCGAATAATTTAAAAACTAATTATGAAACATCGAATTTTCTTGCAGATACATGCTCAGCATGAAAATGCGCAGCTTTGCCCTAATTTAACCGACCTCGTATCTCTTATGATAACTGAGATCCTCATGGTGAAGCTCGAAAAACGGGCATGAATGTTGTCCTTATTTAGGAATCATACAACCTGATGAATTCCCGAAAATTTTCAATCGACAGTTCGTCCGAGATAACTTTGAATTTGCAGCTTCATTCATAGTTCATACACCCCATTGTATCAAAACCCGTACAAGCAGTGAGAGTAATCAGCACTATCGGCAGTTTTTGCCCATTCAAGAATTGAATAATGAAGATGATGGAAAGCCCTAATTTCGAGTGACAACAGAAAATGGAAAAACTCCACCGCCCCCCGTGAGAGTCGAACTCACAACCTTTGGGTTACATGCCCAACGCTCTGCCAATTGAACTAACGGGTCATCCGTCGATCAATCGGCAGGAAGGTCGAGTTCTCATCACACACCAGGCGGCAGAATCCCTCCAAATCCCAAAGTCACTCGAAATCATGCACTATATGAAGCATCGCTGGCAGGATGGTACTATACAGTCTCCATTTTTTCCCGTTCGGCCTCTGGCATTGTCTTTCCTTGTATACGGAAATGTCCTTCAAGAATTCTCTGCCGATGCCGAGACAATCTGCAGCGATGCATTAAGTTATATGCATAGCAAAACGTGCCGACCGTGCCAAGCCTAGTCGACCGATCCGAGTCGATTCAGTTCGCGTCCTCCTTGACCATGGCAAAACAATTTCTTAAACACATTACCATGGCAACAGTTTTTTGAACAAATGTTCAGTCGTTCGAGTCCTGTCCGACCTGTCGATTATAGGAACTGTCAACTGTCATTACCGAATTTAGTAGCAATTAGAACTATTCAAACAACTTCTCTTTGTATCAGAATTCTTTATTAATGATGTATGCAAAATGTAGACGACAGTGGAACCCTGGAGCGCCCACAGGCGTGAAACCATCTTTTCTAGAGTTTCCGGGTATTTTTCATTGCATACAATTGATTGCTGCAATTCACATTTCAGGCAATAATAATATGTAGGTTATTTGAACACTGAATCAGAATGACCGGTTCGCAATGTCTATTTGTCAAAAATCTGTGTTTTACTGCTTATTAAGTTTTGAGTTGGGTAGATGAAACCATGAGAACAGTCACATGGAATATCGAATATCCACCATTTCGTCACTAGAATTATACCAGCACCAAAAAATTGTGACAGCTGTCCAATTACAAAATGACACTAGTGCGTAGGCGTGCAATGAAAATTGCTGCAATTTTTTGAAAAATTGCAAACTGTAAAGCTGCTCTAATCAATATTCTGAATAAGTAATAACTTACATATGTATTTATTATTTTAATTCAATTAATCATTACATGTTTTGTTATGTCAAACTGATAGGTATGGTTACACTTCAAGATTATTGAAGTTTTGTATTTCGTTTAGGTAAATAAAATCTGTTTCTTATCAAATGAATAAATTCAAAGAAGCTCGATTTATTTCAATAAGTCGAACTTTTCTGTACTTTCTTATAAAAGTCATGACTTATTCCAACCCTGATGTCCAATGATATCGTTGTCACCCGGTAAAAATACCGACCGCTAGCACTCACATAGAGTGACTTTTTAAACAAAGTGGCGTCAATAGTGGTGCACTTTTTGATTAGTCAGACTTCAATATGAAGGTGCATCTACCTGTCTTGTTTTCTCCGTTCAGTACTACACATTCTATTTCACTTTGTCACTGTTTCTCGCTCTTTGGTGTTCTTTGGGCACAAAACATCCAACCATCAGATATGAAACTCTATATGTCAGTACCTTGGATAATAACTATTACAATGCGTCTTTTGGGACTCATAAGTCTTAGATTATTTAGATGATGAAATGAAAATATCTAAACCTAACACCAGGTGGGCACTTCGAAGGCGTAAATTTATTACCGCATGGAAGATATCCTTCAGTTTTGCAGCTATTCAATGACTTCGACCACGAATGCCATTCCGGAAACGGCAGCCACTAGGAGGTCTATTGTCACTCAATTTAATCTACTCTCCACTCACCTATTGCGAGAAATATATCGTTGACGTTCATCGCCGTCTTGGCTGACGTCTCGATAAACAGCAGGCCGTTCTCGTCGGCGTACGTCTGCGCTTCCTCGTACTCGACCATGCGCTTGTTGGCGAGGTCCTGCTTGTTGCCCGCCAAGGCGATCACGATCGTTGGACTGGCCTGCCGCTGCAGCTCCTTTACCCACGTCTTGGCCCTGCCGAAGGTGTCCTGGTTGGTGATGTCGTACACGACGATAGCTGCCTGGGCGCCTCGGTAGTACATGGGGGCTAGGCTGTGATATCTGACAAAGAATTATCTATTGAAGAAGAAATACACACAAGACTTCGAGGTCCAAATTATTTCTTTTTCCTAATCATACCTAGAAACTAGATAGTTATGGTATATCCAAAACTAATTGCAGAATATCCCGCACTGTTCGGCGTCGGCGGGTTTTAAGTTCTCTTTGGAATGAGTGCAGGTGCGACACGTGAAACTTTGCAATTATTGTTTTCGATAAACTTTAGATGGATAGATACTTTTTTCTTTTTTATTTGAAATATTCACATCTGGAATATAAATGAGTATTAAAATTGAAATAAAAAATTCGTCCAGTGAGTAACAACATTTTTCGATTAAAATCAATCTTTTTTCGAAACTGTTCACATTGGGTGCGGATTTGATTTCATTATTCAATTTAATATATAATTTGCATCCGATTAAATAAAAACTCCTTTGATGAGGTGTAGCGAGTGTTATGATCATGCTTTGGTGGGCAAGTTCAAATGCTATTCAATTTATAGAGTTCTCTACGGCTAGTACTCGACTCATGTCAATGTTTTCAAAAATACGTAACAGATATTTTTGTAAAATAAACACTCTTACCGTCGCACTATTTTCCCACATGAGTATTCCATATCTTATATTGGAATGAAAGTTAGCATAATATAAAGTTACCAGCATTTGTTTACTACAGTGATTTTTTATATATTTGATGTTGCAGCAAGCACTATGTAGTTTTTGCATAATTGGTCAATATTCTCCGTTCATAACAGTTGTCTATAGAAAGTGTTTCTCAACAATTTCAGATTTTCAGAGCAAGACAATTCTTTTTCTGTATTTTTGAAAATGGTAGGTGGATCTTGTCTTCTATGTCTGAAATATACCAACCCTGTTTTTTTGTGGTTTAATAGCAAGTTGTTATTTCTCAACAAACTATGTACAGTTGTGTGTATAAACAAGTCGAACAGCAGTTACTGGCTATTGTGAGTCAGGCTTGTCAATCTTAATCAATCTTATCGACTTTGACAAGTAGTGTCAAAATTCAAACTATTTTTGTCAGTAACATGCAAATGTGTGCGTGTACTACTTTTTAATGAAATCTGGAACATCATCAGGGGCGGCGAGTGCATGGGGGCATCGGGGCCAATGCACCCATGTAGGCAGTGGGTATGGGTGCAATGCACCCATTGGCCGAAACAGACGTATAAAAAAACAAATTAAATACGGGCGAAATGAGCACTTGTAAATATTGCACATTGTTGCTGGACAAGTATAGGTAAACAACCATGCGAACCGTATATTCGATTCATGTGCATCCAGGGTTTGACACTGTGCACTGTGCAGATATTCCGATTTAAATTTTAGACATTATGACATCACAGGTTACAAGTGCCAGTTCGGAAAAAAATAGAAGTGGCTAATGAATCCATTGATAATACAGTCAGTAGGAATACCTTTGCAATAAATTAACTGGGGTTACTTGCTAATTTTTTCGAATCCCGAAGTTTCTCTATTCCATTTTTTGAGATATGAGAATTATTAAATCTTATTTTATTTTTGTAGAGATTGAATTTTCTAATATCGTTTTAAATTTTGAGTTATGTTCACTTTTTTCAATGGTGAAAAAAAAATTCTTCTATTTCTCATCCTTGTTCTATTAATATATCAACCATAAACTCGAAACCCGATTAGTCACAAAATATTATATTTTGGTAGAGGTGTTTCACACTTGATGCAAAATAAATAATGCTTTGATCTATCTTGAAATTTGATGGCATTTGACCTTGAACCATGAAAAATTTTCGCCTGCGGCGCATAATTTTGTCTTACCCTGACCCCTCAATTTTGGCACCCATTGGACAAAACAAAACTCGCCGCCCCTGAACATCATAGGCAGGTTTATACCATACAAAGTTTGTACGACTTGTTTATGCACACAACTGTACATTACAGTACTCTTTCTGTAGAATCTGAGTAACAAAAAATGATCTTGACATTTGGAATATTTTCTGCAAAATATATGAGGTAATTCGCGAATAAGTTTAAGAGTAGAGGGCCCAGAACTGATCACTGATTAAATGTAAATTATTCTAATTGTATCAACTTTTATACTAATATTTTGAAGAAGAAGAAGTCTTTATTGAACCACGGAAAATTACATTTTCATAGAGGTCCTTCCTATGCCTCGTACAGTTTGATATCATATTTTCTATTTGTAAAATTTGTATAATATATTGAGGTAATGAGGAGATAGAGAAATGCCATTGTATATTGAAAGACAAGAAGACAACTTGGCTAACCGGAAGGGAGAGTACCATCGTTATTCATAATGCCTTACAACACTATTTTCATGAATATGATTTTATCACCAGATCTTTCAAACGCTTCAATTATTCCTACTAAGTAGATAAATTATTCGCGCATGAGTTATTATAGGCCCGGAACATGTCCCCTTATGTACCACTCCACTTTGAGCAGTATGAACTTCTTCACACGTTCAAGTTATTGTCTGGTAAATTCAACAGAAAATGACTACGTTGTACCATGCCGAATATTGATCGAATTGCTGAATAGCTGATATAAAAATCGTCTAAGATTCAGAATTTTATGCATTAACATTCATTATACCTATTTGTCGATTTTTACTCGTCTAAAAATACAAAAATGCGCCGGTTCAAGTCGCTATATTATGGGTCACTATACTATATTACTCTCATTGAAAAATTATTTTCATATTTTGCACCTACAGTGCAGCACGCCACTGGTATTCGTTGCGACCAACAATATTGCAGTGTTGCCAATAAGGTGCCAAAATACTTGTGTGATAAAGAGGTTCGATCGGTATTCTCTGTCATACTTATGGGCATCCTCATGTAATCATTGGGGCAAAACAAATGGAGTTTTATGAATAGGCCAAGCCGTAGAGAATTTTTGGAGGAAAAAATTAGAGGATAGCTGAATTTTTGTTTAAAGCTTCATTTTGGCGTTCTAATTACCCTGCTAAGTTTTCCCCCTCCAAAACCCTCTGCGTAGGCCGCCATGTTGGAAGAATATCTCCATATCCATTTGTCCTACAATAAAAATGAATCCTATCGTTTTTGAAGAGAACCAGATTCTCTATAAAAAAGTAAACATACATTTTATAGCTGAGACGTACCGTTTCGACCTCGGTTTCGACTCTATCGCCAAGAAAAGTACAGAGATTTCGCGCGTCCGTACGAAATATCATTGTCCGGTCGCCGTACCTTCCTTTTTGCATCACACAATTCTCACTTTTGATTTTTTTCAAGTGAATATTGTATTTATTGATGAATTCAAATGTTTTTGACTGATGTTCAACTACATATATCTAACCATTTCCACATCACCTTGCGGTAGAGCAAGGCCCTGTAGGCCTAATCCACCTCACCAAGATAAGTCTATTCATATTGAATACGTTGACAAAGTTATTCATCACTAGTCTCTTGAATATTAATGTCGTGGTCATACTGGACACATTCCTCATTCTCCTCTTTTATGGAATGGTCTGAATTAATCACAATATCCAGATCATCATGGTGGTACACCGCAGACCAACTTTTCTACAGTTACAAGCTGCTTTGCATCCTTTTGTACACTTGCATGAGATAGTTTGTAATGTTTGCGGAGCAGCGTCTTTGGTAGAAGTAATAGGTAACAGACCGTTCATAGTAGTCTTCCAGCCCTAATATTTCGGATTCTTTTCAATTCCATACCATTTTTGAACTTGGTAATGGTTCTTAGAGAATACTGTCGTGCCGCGGCTTTTGTTGGAGGTAAGGACGCAAGATTCACAGAATTTTTGCATAATGATTTGGCAAATATCTGGAATCTCAGCTCATCCAACGAGATCCCTTCACTTTTTTCTTTTGTATAGAGCTGCAATCAATGTTTGTCCAGCAGCATCAATCGCATCTGGATGTGCTTCTGGATCCTTGAAGATTTGGGCAATATTCTGCAATTTCTCGTCATTTTATATTAGTTTGACAAATTTCATATTTCCTTGCCTAAAAAATGAGGAAGTTGTATTGCAACCCCTGAAAGCGTGTAAAAATAAAATATTGTCTCTTACCTCTTTCGGAAATTGCAAACTGTTGAGAGAATATATCTTTCCATTCGTTTTTCCTCTTCTAGGTTTCATAAAGTACATTTTCGAACGAGGCGGTGATAAAGCTGTCAGTAGTAAGTACCAAGAGATCACTATCATTACATAATCGTGATTGTGTGATATGTCGATTGCGGTACGAAGAATGAGAGAGTCTGCATCATCCTCATCTTGTTTAACGACAAATCCCGCCTTCTCAAGTTTTTCACATAATAAAGAGATTAGCCTGGTTTTATTTTTATCATTCGATAGAAATTTCTCTTGCGACATAGTGACTGTCATTGATTCATCAAACAGTACGTCGACGGCAGCATGTTTGTTCAATTGTCATAGACGCTCAGCTGATTTCGTACGTTTTGCAGCTACTTGGTATCCGTCATTTCAATAATTTCACGAAAAAATCACAAGCACAATGAATGAAACGAGCACAAAATTCATGTAGCGATAACCAATGTCTCGGCTATATATACTGATGAGATCAGATCCTGCTAAAAAGTCCCTACCAATAATAAATCGCGGGTACATCCTACGCGAAGGTGGGGGTTTGTTTGAAGCCTAAGAAATACATCATATGCTAATAAAGTTTTTTTATTTCTCCATTATGGTGGCAGAATTGAATTTCTAGTAAAGAGTAGTGAAGCTGAACATTGGCAATGATGGTAATTGTTAGGCGGTTGCAAATACGATGACCGGGCAACGATATTTTGTACGATCGCGCGGAAACTTTGCATTTCTCGCGGCCATAGCGTCGAAACGGTAAGTCGTAGCGATGAATTATATACGGAACATTTTGATAGATAATTGAGTTATCTTGAATATCAATCATAGCTATTTTCAATGTAGGACTAACGAAAACGGAGATATCAGCCAAAAAATGATTTTTTGCACTTTTCTTCCAATATGGCGGCCAACGCAGAGGTCTTCGGAGGGGGAAAACTTAGCAGGATAATCAGAAACCCAAAAGGAAGCTTTAAAACAGCTTTCCTCTAATTATTTCCACTAAACACTCATTTTTTGTCTCTGGTGCTTGGCCTAGAATGAGATGTTGCGTCTCCCTGGGATAATAAGTCTATGAACCTATTCGCGAGATTCACGAAGTGGGCGACATCTAGGTTACATAATACGAACTTCAAACTGGGGGAAAATAAACTGTTGTCTATGGATAAAGTGCATAGACTACATTGCATTCAGCTTGCTGTAGCTGTAGTCAAACTTGTCAATGACATAAAGTGTTGGCACTGTTGGTAGTGATGATGGTTGAGTTGGTTAATTTTTTTACATTATTACATTTTTATTAGTTTAGTGAACAGTGAACGGGTGATGAATTGGAGATAGTTCACACAATTCAATCTAATTATGAGGAGCAAATCAATTGACAAATAAAAGAACAGCTACAACATGTTTACAATACCCAGATTGTCCTGCTTTGCAGGCACAAATACAAATCCTTTGTTCTACAGGAGTTCCTCTGGACCCCAACTTCAATTTCACTTCATGTGGGGAAGATTTCATCGCCGAAGTTTGTAGACAAAGTGCAAAAATGTGCCTTTTGTTGAAGTCTTCTGCTTCACACAAAATCACATGATTAGCATGTAGAACTGCTTCTCCTTCCACTACTGGTCGGCTTTTACCATCTGAATAGAGCAAAATATCTGCCAAAAGAACATCTACAACAGGTGTTATTAGCGTTTTCGATCGAATATTGACAATTAATGTCAAGGAATTTAAAAAACTTATCACTCTTATCAGTACACAAGCTAATGGCACTAATCTCCTCAGGGGCTCACAACTTTTGAGTACGGGAATGGTGAACCCGAGAACTTGTCTTGGGTGATATCCTCTTCTCTCTTCGTTTTCCAATCTATCTATCGGCCTTTCTTGGCCAACTTCTCTTTTCCTCCTCCCCTCCAAGCCCAACCTCACCATCAAGTGGTGTGGGGAGGACAGACCGCGGCCGCTCGACGGATGAAGCATTTTGGGACCATCTTTGCTATCTCCGGGCCAGATGGGACGATTTCTGGACATTTGTGGCAGGGATGGGGCGATTTGCTGATATCTGTTTAGGTGGCCGAGGACTGGTCAACGAGGCTCTGGCAACCTAATCCAAGCTGTGGGAACCCGTGGTGATGGATGAATGGCACTGAGGTATGGTGTCGCTAATGGGGCTTCTGGGAAACAGGGCGACATCTCAGAGTAAGTAACCTTAGCCCTGTGCAGGCGGCACCACAGGGCTGGACCAGCCCCTTCCCCCGTCACTCGTAGGAGGAGGAAAACTGTTGGCCTTCTTCGTAGACGAGAACAGGGATCGGAAGAGTAATCTTCAGTAACCTGAACGAATAGGGTATTTCATATTGAAGTGGCCCTTAATAAGCACCATGAGTCGTATATGGTAAAATTGATAACGGCATGTAGGTAAGATACAATGGGCCACTAGGCCTAAGTGTCGTCGGAGACTTCGGTCAGACGAGCCTACAAACGGGGTGGAGTGTTTAATGGGTATACCCTGGAGTCAGGGGACTCCCACACTATCATATGGGGGATTGGACCCATATGGTGTCCATAAAGAATTTCAACCACCTCGATGAAAAAAAAATGACACTAGTGGGGTTGAGTGAGATTGAGTTTGTTTTCCCCCAGTTTTGACGTGACTTTGACATGGAACGATGAAAACCGAGCGCCACCTGGTAACATTGATTCCCGCGAATTCGCTCACCTCTCCTGGCCGGCAGTGTCCCATATCTCGAACTTGACGGTGGTGTCGTCGAGACAGACGGTCTGCGTGAGGAAGGCGGCGCCGATCGTACTCTCCTGGTACTCGTGGAACTGGCCCTTGACGAACCGCAGCACCAGACTGGACTTGCCGACGGCGCTCTCGCCCAGCAGCACCAGCTTGAACTGGCATATCTTGCCCTGCGTGGAGCCGTTCGGCCGCTGCGCCGCGCCCGTCCTCGTCGACATCTCGTATAAAGCTCGACTGGAAGAGCAATGCATGATTTAATTATTTTTTCTACTCACATAACTAAAATGGCATTTAGCGTACGGATATGTACCATACTAAATGATTAATTAATCACGAATTGAGGATCTGTGATTTATTCAAAATATTAAACACATTACCATGGCAACACGGTTTCTTAAACACACCACCATGGCAACATAGTTCATTAAACACAGCTTCAGTAATTTGAGACATGTCTGGCCACACAATTGTATCAACTGTCAACTGTTATTTCAAAATTTTATATCAGAATTATTCAAACAATATTCGTTTGTATCAGAGTTCTCCATTAAAAATATATGCGGAATGTGGACAAAAGTGAAATCGAAGAGAATGTTCTGGTACTTGCATATCTCCAAGAAGTATAAAAATGAAGCATACATCTTTGAGAACAATTTATTTATTCTGCGCTAAGCATGACAATGAATGTGAAACAAAGGTTAGTAATCAATGGACTGGACACATCTACAACCAATATCACTTATACGTGTCTCGCTGGTTGCATGCAGTTGCATGTATTATTATGTTCTCAATTCCCATTTCTTTCGAATTATTTTGAAGGTTAGCAGGAATAGCAGGTATGTTAATGTAATTTTCGGAGTTCGTAGAAAAAGCATAGTATGTAACGCGTTTATAAACTCTTCTGGACACTCGTTTATTAAACACTCGTTACTAAAAGGACGTTTATAACACTTGTTACATAATATACTATTATCCAACCCATGACAGTTATGACTGTCATTATTAATGTCAATTTGGATAAGTAAACTATCAAATAACACACTCTCTAGTGAGTTATGGATTATAACTCACGCTCATATTTAAAGTAGTTTTCTATTTATTTATTACTATTACAAGCAGGATTCACATTGATATTGAAATTAAAGAAAAACGCTAACGGTTTATTCGAATTTTAAGTAATTGTAAAATTCGTTGGTTCATTGGAACCAGATGATCCCGTATCGGTACAGCTGCTGATAGTACTGGAAGGCGCCGACATATTAGAACCTTGTATTTTTTCTGCAATTTGTATTTTGTTATGCACCGATTCTTCTAGGTATCCTTCTGCTACCGTCGAGGACTTCCATCCTCAGTGACGCTTCAAAGTAGTCATGTTAGCCACTGCATTGCCCAAAAGAGTCGCCGAAGACCTTCTCAGGCAGTGACCGGTGTAGAGCGCTGGTTTCTCCATGTTCAAAAACTTTGCAATTCTTGAAGGTATCTTCGACAACGTATTTTTTCCGAGACACTGTCTGGTACACCTCCCATTTTTGTATAAAACAAAAAAGCGGCTAGAACTAGTATTCTTTGGTCTCAAAGACATATTTTTTACACAAATTGATCGGGTTGACTGGAAATCCTTCTTCAAGTATGGTGAAATTCTTGGTTTTAGTGTCTAGCAAAACTACGTGAAAATATTTCCCTTTGTTTTGAATATTTTCTTTTCTCAAATTGACCAATTCATCGCATCTACAAGCACCGCTAATCCCCATTATCAAAGCCACTTTCACCAACAAGTACAAACACTTCTCTATTTCAGGTCGTTCTAATGTCTTGGACTTCTTTGGTTTGTATCCCTGTGATTTGCTTTTCAAAAAGCTCGTTAGTTTACCATATTTTGAAATGTCGATTTTTTTATGAAGGGGAATAGTCGATACCTTTTATTTTGAACTCCTTGTCGTAAGCATCTCGGGACTTTTCTGGCAAAATCTGCATCGTTGCTTCTTCCGCTTCCGAAAGGATATCCTCAGGAACGTAATTTTCATCGGTTTCCTCCATTTTCTATACGTTTTTTATTCTTCAAAAAAATTTCCTTTTGGTGCAGGGAAAACTGACAAGTGTCGAAATTTATTTGAACATTTGCTAACAATGTATCATGCCGTGGCAACCTAACAAACAACCTACTTTCACCGAAATGTAAAAAAGTCACTGTCAAGTAATTCTGACATTTATAGGGTACTGAGACGCAGGTAGCTTTGATTTGATCACTAAACTTATTAATTATTATCGCATAAAAACGATTTCTTTCTCTTGTTGGATAAAACATTGTATGCCACTCTTGTGTTATGTTTTCTAAGTCACTTGTGGATTTATAAATATTTTTCGCGTGATTTATTCTCATCATAACACACTAGTACCATAAATAACTATTATCTACTCACGGAATCGAAAGTGGGCGTTTGTTCCCTCACCTGGATACTCGTAGAGCTAATGTGAAAACCCAGAATAAGAAAATTCAAAACTGGTTTACAGCAAACAAGCTGACTTTAAACGACGACAAAACTCAATCGCTGATTTTCACCTTACGTCACTATGAAACAACCCCAGCAGAAATTCTTAGGTGTTTATATTAACCCTCTTTTGACATGGGATACCCATGCAAACAAATTGACCAAGAAACTCTCTTCCATTACCTATATGATTAGGAATTAAAAAAATAACGTATCTGTGGATATTCTCATGACAGCCTACTTCGCTTACTTCCATTTGAATATGACATATACTCTTCCAAGCTGGGGTCACTCATGCCACCTATCTAAGGTCTTCGGAGTCCAAAGACGCTGTGTGAGACGCTCAGGACTGTCTTACAGAGACTGTTGTAAGTCAAAATTCAAAGAATTGGGTATACTCACAGCTCCTTGTGCCTATGTCCTCGAATGTGTTGTCTATGTCAAAAAAAAATTTTGGATGCATATAGTACAGCTCCCACGGCTACGACACACGTAACAAAGGTGAATTGTTACCTAAATATCATCGCCTTGAAAAGACCAGAGACAGTACTAGTTACTTCGGCCCCAAAATGTACAATGTACTCCCAGATGAACTCAAAAATGTAAATTTAATTTTAAATTGTTTTATTGAAATCTTTAAAAAACATCTTTTAACAAAAGCATTTTACTCAATTGGATAATATCTCACAAAGAATTTCAATGATTTGGTATTATAAAAATAGAACTGATCAAGTGAACAAGACCTAGTTTTTTTTTTTAATTATTTTAACATGTTGTAAGCGGTGAAAAACACTAGAGTCTAGCCATAGCACCAGTGCGAGAATATTGCGCCTGATGCGCAGGTCGCTGGGCGCGAGAAATTGCAGCGAAACAAAAATAAATAAGTCATTGTGAAATGATATTGCGCGTCGCTCGCTGCTCGCTGGGCGCGAGAAATTGCAGCGAAACAAAAACAAATAAGTCTTTGTTGTGAAATGATACATTAGACAACTGCTTTCCTAGTTGATACCATGTCACAGGGTGATCCCTAGAATCGTGACACACCTCAAATCAATTTATTCAAATTGAATTAACACTGTACTGTTCATAATTATTACATATATATATCCCCAGATAGCACGAATATTCTCAGAATATTCTTACAAGCTGCGAAAATGTCATCTTCTAGAATAATATTCTGAAGAATATGCATAGAAAGTTCTCAGTATGTTGCGAATATTTATGGAATGTTCCATGCGAATATTCTGATAGTATTACATGAAAGTACATTCCTAGAAGCTCCTGGGATATAATATTCCAGAATGTTCATTAAATAATATTTTCAGAATATTGTGAACATTCATGGAATACTTTGCGAATATACTAATGATATTCTGAAAATATGTTCCAATGAGCTTCTGAAATGGAATATTCTAGAATGACAATGTTCAAATATACTTATTTCAGAATATTCTAACATAATGTCCTTAAAATGATCATAAAATATTTTCATCCTGCAACGAATATTCTATGAACATTCAATTTGACATAGATACACAAGAATATTCTTTTCGAGAATTTCCAAATGTCTCTCGAATTGTTTACTCAATAATTTTTCACTGCACATTGGACAAGTGGAATTACCTGTTTCTTTCATAGTATTTGTAGATGAATTGTTACATTTCTTTGTATGAATTTTTAACTCCCTCTGATTCATGAACTGTTGTCCACATTTATCACAGGAAAACACTTTTTCACTTTTCTTCGACGGGGCTATCTTTGTTGGATGTAACTTCAAACAATGAGTTCTGAGATTTTGAAAAGAACTGAATGTTTCCGAACATTCTGCACAACAGTTCGATTGCATTTTTAAAGTGTGAAACGCTAGACTAGGAGGTCAAACGATAAATGAGTACATATTCTGGAAACAGTTCGAATGGCAACCAACAAATCTCCTTCCCGTGATACATGATTCGCCGCCAATTAAGGGTATTGGATATTCTTTTACCAATGATGATCTTTATTGTTTCGCTCCAATATTTGTCCCGCGCCGCACGGCCGCAACCCTTCTCGCCTCGCTTCTCGCGCTCGCAAGCAACGAAATTTTCTGTTTCTCGCGCCCAGCGACCTGCGCACCAGGCGCATTATTCTCGCACTGGTGCTATGGCTAGACTCTAGTGTGAAAAACGGGGCAAGTTGGCAACCCTGTATCCAGCGGAAAGAGACTGAGCGAAGGATGACAGCGCAGGGAGAGCGGGGATATCTCGATGGATCTCCGGCAGTCTATACGAGCGTTATACGAGGCTTTGGCGAGAGACGTGTGCGATAGCTACATTGTTGTGATTCTTCAAGCGAATATACGGTGTTTGTATTGAGAAATAGCGTTTAAATAATTGACTCCTAACAGTGTTGTACATGATTTCGATAGTCTTATATATTTGTATATTGTCCAGCTACATGTATAAGTGTATTGACCTTTTTATGACTTGTGTAAGTACTTAAATGTATATTAACACCAATAAATCTATCTATCTATCATTCAAGGACACAAAGCTGACAATTTACTCCCACGAAGGGAAAAGATTACCTCCCGTGGGAGGTAAAATAAATTGGCTTTACCATGCTTGGCAGAAATATACCTACCGATAAAGTGCTATCCAAAACAAATAACAACTACCTTTTTGAATTTCAATTATGATTTCATACTTCCTATATTCCAAAATTACTCAATCAATACTTTCAAATGTAATTACATAATAAACAAAC